ACTAAACTTTACATAAACTGAATCTTCAGTATGAAACCTCATGTCTGGTTTCGTTGTCACAGCACAGTGTCTCTGAGATTCATCCATACTGTTCCACACACTGATAATCCTTCCTTCCTGTTTACAGTGTGCTGGGGTTTCTTTATTTTTTATTTTTTGAGACAAGGTTTCTCTGTGTAGCTTTGTGGCCTGTTCTGAAACTTGCTCTGCTGACCAGGCTGGCCTTGAACTCACAGAGATGCACCTGCCTCTGACTCTGAGAGCTGGGATTAAAGGTGTGAACCACCACTTCCTGGCTATAGTCTGCTCTTAATGCATCAAAATGACCTGATCTCCTTTACCAGGCATTTGAGTTATGTCTAGTTTGGGAATATTCTCAATAAAGCTGCAGTAAGAAGTGTTAAATTCTTGTGAAAGTTTTCGGGTGGGTATGTGCACTTATTTTCTGTTTCTGTAGGGTGTATACGTGGAAACCAAGTTGCTGGTGAATCTAGGTTAGCTTCAGTAACTGTCAAACTTTCCAAAGTGGGTGACCTAACTCCTACGTCTTCCAGTCATGTGTGAGGAACCAGTTGTTCCCCATCCTAATTCTCAGTTGACACTACTGTGACTTTTCATTTCAGCTACTCTGGTAGATAAGTAATGCTATTAATTTTAAATTTTATCTTGTTTCAAGACAGGTTTTCTCTGTGTAACAGCTCTGGCTGTCCTGGAACTTGCTTTGTAAACCAGGCCAGCCTTGAACTCACAGAGATCCTCCTGCCTCTGCCTCCTGAGTGCTGGGATTAAAGGGTGTGAGCCATCACTGCCTGGTAATTAAAAAAAAATTATTGCTGCCATGAGAACCAGCCTTCAGCAGCTCGGGGATTGAGGGGGAGCCATGGAGTCGGCATTGTAATCACTCAACTTGACCTTTCTGTCTGAGGGAGTAAAACTTAATTCTCTGGGGCTGGTGAAAAATGGGAACACACATTCGTGTGTGCAAACACACACACACACACACACACACACACACACACACACTTCCAGCATCTCAGGATCTGATGCTGATGAATGACAAGCCTTCAGCAGGTCAGAGAAACTGAAGAGGAGATGTGGATACTGGACAGACAGACAAGGACTTTTCTGAGGGCCAAATCTTAGTTCTTTTATTATTATTTCTGTTGCATGTTCTACTTTATCCTTTTTCTGTTCTGTTCTTCTACCCTGATGTTTCCCTTATGCTTATTCTTAATTTTTCCCCTCTCACTAACTTAATTTTTCCCTTACAGTTTATATACTCCAGCAAAATCTTTCAAACAGTATAAAAATTACAATGTGGTTATAAATTCTATTTTACATGAACGATTACAACGAATCATGCTTTCCATACCCCTTACATGATTAAACATTTTACATATTACAGGTGAAAAACAGGTTGTCACAAGAACCCATGTACATTTACACCCAAGCAACTTGTTATAGATTAAGAGAGTGCAAGCAAGCAAGGTATTTTTCTCAGCCAGTTCTTCTGCTGGCAGGAGCGATCACTTTATTACTTATCTCAAAAGGTAATCTTGTAAAAATCTTAAAAGAATCACAGATCTAAACTTTTATACATGAAAAACAATCAGTCATCTCTATTTTAAATCCTCAGGATGCATACCCACTCATCAACAGTTTTTTATTATTTTTATTATTTTATTTAGGAAGCTGAGGGCAGAAATGGGTACAAGGAATTAATCGTCATCTCTGATCGCTAACTCATCCTAGCAAGGTTGACATTGTTCTTGCTTCCTGTCCTCAACAAGTCCCTAAGTCCCTTGCTCAACTATTAAAAGTGTGCCTTTCTAAACTTTATATTGTTCCCCAAGATTTTCTACCTCAAAGTTATTAGCAAAAACACCTTAACCTAACCTTACTAACAATCTGCATGTCTAAATTCCTTCTGAGGGTGGTGACTGAAGCATTAATCTGCTCCAATGCTTGGGAAAAGTCAATCACTATTATTGAAAATACCAGTAACACTGTCCAGTGAGGGGCGAGAAACCCCTGAGGGTTTTCATATAACCCATAGATCATGGGTGATGTGGTGATCACGAGGGCAGCAACCAGAGCTAAGCTCAGAGACAGCAAGAGGTCCTCAGGACATGCAGTCCTTGGGGCTCTGCCTCTCCCTTAGGCGTGGCGTTGCCAACTGCCCAGCTGTGTTCCATGAGTTCCAATGCTGCCTGCTGGTCCCCTTGCATGGCCCCAGAAAAAATTTATTTTCGAGACAGGGTTTCTCTGTATTGTTTTGGAGGCTGTCGGTCCAGCCTGGCCTCGAACTCTCAGAGATCCGCCTGCCTCTGCCTCCCGAGTGCTGGGATTAAAGGTGTGCACCACCACCGCCCAAATTTTTAATTATGAAAATAATGGATTTTTACTGACTTAGGAACTTAAAAGCACAAGAAAGATTAAACTAGGGCCCTGAGCTCACTTGCCCAGTGTTTAAAAGCTCTTACTGCTCTTACAGAGGACCTGAACTCAATTCAGCATCCACATGGTGGTTCACAGCCATGCATAACTCCAGTTCTGGGGGACACAACGTCCTCTTCTGGTCCCTGTGGGAACCAGTGGGTATCCACATATAAATAAATAAATCTAAAATAAAGTTTGAATAAGAGATAGGAAACTAAAAATCGTTGTTACTTTTACCTCCTTCCAAGTTTGTAGGTTGGGACCCTTAGCTACTGAGGCTGAGCTTCCTCTCCAGCTCCCAAGTTTATGTGATTTGTGGTATGTATGGACAATTTTAAAGTTATACTGATTTATACTCCCACCATGCAAGAAAAAAAGATATCTATTTTTTTTAACTGACACTATTTTGAAACTTGTCAATTTTGGTATTTCATTATGACTTTTATTTAACATACACCCCACAGAGAGGCTACTTGACATTCTTTTTGCTATTTATATTGCCTTTTTATGAGTTGTTTCACTTCCTTTTATAAATCAGCTTTTTCTTTTTTTGAGAAAGCATCTTCTATATCCCAGGCTGGCTTTGAACTTGTAGCCAAGGATGACCCTGAACTCCGGATCCTCCAACCTCTGCCTCCTGAGTGCTGGGATTGCAGATGTGGCCGCCATGCTTGATCCGTGCAGTGCTGAGGGTTGCAGTCAAGGCTTTGTCCATACTGGACAAACATTCTACCAACTGAGTCACACCCTCAGCACACATCATCACATGTAACAAGATTAGTATTTAAAAGGAAGTACAGCTGGCTGTGGTAGTACAAGTCTGTAATCCTAGCATTTGGGAGGTAGAGGCAGAAGGATTACTTTAAATTCAAGGCCAGCCTGGTATATGTAGTAAACTTGGGCTAAAACAAAAACAAAAACAAACAAATAAACAAACAAACCCAAAACAGACAAAGATGTGTGTGGCCATCTTATGAATGGATAGATATACAAAAAGAGGTTTATATAAAATTTTAGCAATCACAATATGATGTAACTCCTTTCTCCTTTTTCATGAGCTCTTTTAGAATTCCATGTAATGTATTTTGGTCACTCACCCCTTTGCCATTTGTCCCCATCTACCTACTTCCCGATGCATCCAACTTTGTGTCTTCCTCTTTTTCCTTTCTAACTCATCAAGTACAGTTGGAGCTGCCCACATGCTCCTGGATGTGTGGCTTCCATTGGAACATGGTCAACCTGCCAGGGGCCGGGCCCTTAAAGACAACTGACTGTTCCTCTCCCAGAAGCTGTCACTTGCCACAGCTCCTTAGCAAGTAGGTGGTGGGACTTGGTGCCCGGCTCCGCCCTGTTCCACACTGGATTTTCTGGCTCAAATGCTCAGCTGCCCCACTGTGGGGAAAAGCACCATTTCTTTATAACCATCCACCACCTCTGACTCTTACACCCTTGGCTTCAGGGCCAAGCACTCTGTAACCTCTTCTCTGCATCTTGACCAGCTGTGGGGCTGTCTCTGTGTTAATTCTAATCTACCCCACGAAGCTTCTCTGATGCCAAGTGAGCAATGCGCTAACCTATCGGTACAGCGACAAGTTATTAGGAGTCAGTTTAATACTACGTTCACTTATCAAGTAATAGTAGCAGCTTCCCCCTGAGGGCTCAGAGTCTGTCTAGATGCAGGTTTGGAGCCCTGGGGTCAATGCCAGACATGAGGAACAGAGCATAAATCAAACCAGGAAGGGGTTGGTTACTCCTATGGCTTTTGTGTCCCTATTGTACACGTCTTGCCAGGCCAGTCATTGTTGTAGCTTGAAGGGCTCACAGCTGGATAAGGCTGGTGATTCCCTCTCTCCTCTGGTAGTGTGTGTCGAATTTTCCAGCACTATGAAAGCTAACTAGAAGGGGTAGAGTTTCCAGGTGAGTATCAGCTTGGTTCATCTGTGTTCTATGACTCAGGCACAGGCACGTGGTGTCTTCAGCAATAGAGTATTACTGCCAAGTAACCAAAAGCATTGAATAGAGCTTGTAATTCTCAGGACCTTACTAGCCAACAGCTCCAAAAGAAGTAACCCACTCCTGGCACTTCTTCCAACCTTCGCCGCCTAGTAGGGGCACTGTCACCCTGTTATAGGGGGACTCCCCTTAAACTCTTTTGTTCCTGTGTATGTATCTAGTCATTTCGACAGTAGTAGGTTTCCATGTGGCTTTAGTGGTGTTAGGTACCCCTCCCTGTTCCCTCCTCTACCCTGCCCTCCCACCTCCCAAACTATTTAACCCTTTGTGTTCTATTATTCCCCTTTAACCTTTTATACCACTGCATCCTAACTCTCCTCCTTTTAATATGACTTTAAAAGGAACATACTTATTACTATTTCTAGTTTTCTCTCTCCTAAAAGCTCATGTTAGCATAACCAATAACACTCTTGGAAAATGCTGTAGAAATACATACGGTTAATTCTATAAATACCCAAAGGGGATTCTTCATTGCAGTGCTCCCTGGAACCAATAAGAGGTTGTCTCTTTAACATGACAAAAAGACTATTTAAAACCAAAAGTCAAAATTACACTTAATGGGGAAACATGAATTATTCCTCTTTAAAGACAAGGACAATCACCCCTACTTAACTTGGGTCTAAAAATTCTCACAAAGCTTCTGGGGTGGGGAGCGAGAAAGAACGATATAATCAAAGAGGAAGAAAGCGAGCTATCTCGATTTGCAAATGAAGTGAAAATCGCCGCACGATCACTAGAGACAGTTGATGCCTGAGATCCAGGGAGCAGCACAGGTGAAGCCACGCTCGTCTTCACAGCCGCACAACTCTCCTCGCCGTTGCTCTCCCATGCAGCCTTCAGGGAGCCGCCGTGATTTCATTGCTGACATCTTTGTTTAACGTGTGAGTGTTTACCTGCACACGTGAGGGTGTACCACGTGTGTACCTGGTGCCCGAAAAGAGGGTGTCAGATACCTTGGACCTGGAGTTCCAGAAGGTTATGAGCCACCATGAAGGTGCTGGGGATTGAACACAGGCCCTCTGCAAGAACAACAAGTGATCTTAACCACTGAGACAACTCTCCATACATTCTTTTTCCTTGTTTTTTTAAGATTTCATACAATGTATCAGTTCAATAGAGTCTTACTGTCAGGTTTTGGAAGGTCAATGAGAGTATGGACAATAGTTGGTAATTCTTAGGTGTCTATAGAATGCCATTGGCCAGTAACTCAAGAAGAGGTCCTGGTAATGGGGACTTTGTTGGCTAGCTTGTGGTGTCTAGTTGGGGTATTGCCCCCACTTCGTCTGTTACCCATATATTTCTTTTCTTTTTTCAAGACAAGGCTTCTCTGTATTGTTTTGGAGGCTGTCCTGGAACTTGCTCTGTAGACCAGGCTGGCCTTGAACTCACAGAGATCCGCCTGCCTCTGCCTCCCGAGTGCTGGGATTAAAGGCGTGCGCCACCAACGCCTGGCACCCATATATTTCTTATTAACATGTAACATAACATTTTTAACCTATTAGGATTGCGTTTGTTTTCAGTCTCTTATAAACACGAGTTCTTTACAGTCACTAACTACAGAGATGACAGAGGCATACAGTCCTGCTTAAGATAGGTAGGAGCACATTTTCTGCTCTGCATGGTGTTAGGCTAGTCCCATTTTCTGCTGTTCTTTTATCTCTTCTCTTTTCTCTTTATCCCCTCCTCTTCTTTCTTTGACAGAATCTCCTCAGAAAACTCAGGCTGACGTCAGATTTGTGATGCCTGTGTGAATGTCTTCAGTATTAGAGTTCCAGGCATATACCATCACACCCAGCTTCTTTGTTTTGTTTTATGATGTTCTAAGCCAGGTAACTACTTGGGAGGAGTATTAAGTGGTTTTAAATGTAGGTGATGGAATGAATGCCTTGTTCCTGGTATAGGCATTAGACTAGTTTCCATTTGGGCACAGGATCTTTAGCTAACCATACCTTCTGGTTTCTGGTGACCAGATTGCTGTAATTAGACATCGCTTTATTGCAAAGTGCCCAAAATGTAATGGCTTAAGCAAAATGATATCATTGATGTTTATGATTCTGTGTGGGCCTATATATTTCTCTCTCACAGGGAAATTACAGGCAATGAATCTAGACCCTCAGCTATGCTGAATGGTGGGTCTGTTTGGGGGACTGAGCCCTTAGCCTGTGGAATCTGATGCTATCTACAGGCAAAATGACTGAATTAGAAGACACCCAACTGATTCTTTGGAGAATTGATTCATCAGATAAAAGAAACCAGTGTCTCACACACCTCCTGACGTTCAAGGGGACGTAAGTGTTGAGGCTGTCTCCATCTTTGGAGACAATTGCTTTCATTCAAGCTGTGGAGCTGTTCTGCCAGCTACTCTAAGCTGGGGCTGTCAGATCCTTGCTCTTAGTGTTACAGCTCTGGGCTCTGATGAACTCTAAGTGTCGGTGGCCCGGCACCCAGCCCGCAGAGGTCATGCTGTCGCTCTTGCTTCGTTAGGACACTTGGCTCTCGGCCCCTGGCGTTGCAGCTCTGGGCAGCTTCTTGGCAGCTGTGAGGACCCATGACGGTCTCCAAGACAAGGGCTTGCTGCTGGCCTTCAGCAGTCTCCCAGCCTCAGTCTCGGCCTTTAGAGCATTCTATCTTCTGAAGTCTCCCAGCCTCAGTCTCGGCCTTTACAGCACTCTGTCTTCTGAAGTCTCTCAGCCTCAGTCTCGGCCTTTAGAGCATTCTGTCTTCTGAAGTCTCTCAGCCTCAGTCTCGGCCTTTACAGCATTCTGTCTTCTGAAGTCTCTCAGCCTCAGTCTCGGCCTTTACAGCATTCTGTCTTCTGAAGTCTCTCAGCCTCAGTCTCGGCCTTTACAGCATTCTGTCTTCTGAAGTCTCTCAGCCTCAGTCTCGGCCTTTACAGCACTCTGTCTTCTGAAGTCTCTCAGCCTCAGTCTCGGCCTTTACAGCATTCTGTCTTCTGAAGTCTCTAGTCACCGACATGGCTCTCCTTTGCTGCACCCCCAGATCATCGCCTCAGCGCCCCAAAGTCTCTGCTCCTAGCTGTTCACTGGACTCTTGTTCCCCCTATATGGGTGGCTTTGTATCTGGGACCAGCAGCCCCTGGAATCACCTGCTCTTCAAGCAACTAGTTTGGCTTACTTGACCTGTGATAAAAGACAAAAGATGTCTAGATAAAACTCCCCCTGTGATAAAAATTCGGCAGTTCATGGGGGGGAGGGCTCCCAGAATGCTAGAGGAGCCAGCCCTTTGCACTAAACGTCATGGGGACTTCTTCCTCACTCAGTTAGGGGTGTCCTCATGAAGGCCAGAGCACCTGTAGGCAGGGATATCTGAAGATGCAGTGGACCCCGTCCTCAGAGGATCACCTGAAGTTGTCATGGCCTAGGCAGAGGTTCCCTAACACCTCCAATATTAGGGTGGTGGTCAAGACAGCGCTGTTAGCTTCCCTCAACAGGAGGGAAGTTTCTTTGGGCTGTCAGCAACTGACTGGTCTCCTCCCAGTGTCACTGGCCAGATTAGATTCTCCTTCAGGTAGCTGCAAAGGTTTAGAAACTGCCCTGATAAGGGCTAGATAAGTAACTGAGAGGACTTGAGGCAACTTGATTGACAGCTCTGACAGGCCCTCTGGAAATGGCTGCAGGTCCTTGAGCAGCAGTGACAATATTGCTCACAGTATCGGGGGACTCGGGAACTGTGGAGGTGGCAGCTGTGGACCCTCATCCAACCTTCATCACTGCAGGTCTGGGGATAGGTGCCTGGTTTGTCCTTGTTAACATTGCTTCAGCTGGGCATCCAGGAAAGGTCTGACAGCTGTCAATCAAGTCTCCCACTTACCCCACCAGAGAGATCCCATCTTTTGATAGGAAAAATGTATGTATAAGGGGTGCTTGTGACAAAGATTTCACACACACAGTTAAGGGCTTTTTTCCCAGCATTTTTTTTTCTGATAATTTTTAACCTTTAGCCAACTAACCTCAGGGAGACAGGGACTCTTGATCTTCGTTGCCGCTCGCCACTGATGCTAAAACTCCCACTCGTCTTTCTTCTAGCTTTTTTTGGAATATGTAGTGCGTTGCTTTTGCCTAAGCCACCCTACCACTTAATAGCACGCCAGAGTGTCTCACTGCTTAAATGGAACTTAGCGCCTGAGGACCAGGCAGTCCTACCCCTCCCCTCGGGTGTGCTTTATTACTGAGTCATATCAGGAACACAGAAAGGGGGGGGGGAGGAGGAGGAAGAGGAAAGCTTAAGGTGCTGACTCCCTAGGAGCCAGGCAACTTTTTGCTCATTTCCAAACTAGCTTTTGAACAAGGCTGGCCTTTCGTTCTGTTCTGGTTCCTTTCTTTTCTTAGAATTGCACTTGAATGAGAATGCAAAGCAAATTTAAAATCAGGCGTTTCCTCTAGCCTCTGCTCACTAAGGCCTGCCGACCCCAAAAGTCTGCAGGGTCATTTAAAGTAAAAGGTTCTTGACAACTGAAACAAACACTGTGAAAGTCTGGGGCGTGTGCCCAGAGAGCCCCAGGCAAACAAGGACAGTATGAATGGCACCCAGAGTCCATCTTTGACTCAATTAGAAAGAATCAATCTTGTCACTGAGTTTCCAAGGAAATTCAATCACAGGTCAAGTGTAGGAAGCTGGCTAACTGTGGCTTAAGCAGCAGACATGACAGGCGGTCGATAGCTGCCTGGGGACGAGCTTGACTTCAAAGCCCCTTTATCTGCCGCGAGAAAAGGCAGCCGTGGTGGCGGGAAGGGGCTCCTGCAGGCTGGAGCTGACCACCGAGAGCCCAAGCCAAGGCTACAGATAGGGACCTGGGAAGGACCCTGCCGCCTTTAGTAGCTTAGTTACCAGCTAGGATGCGTGACTTACGGGGCGCATGGGAAAGACCATCAGGGCCCAGGAGGGACCTCCAGCACCAGCGTGTGCAGTCTGTACGGACGGAAACCGTAATAGACACAGACTGCGCAGGAAGTGAAGTCTTAACTCTTCTAACTGGAAAGGGCGCGGTTGGGAAATGTTTTTCTGTTAAACTCGGAGTCGTTCCCCCTCTAGTGGTCACACAGATGTTTGCAAAGGACTGTTTGTAAATTTAAAAAAAAACCATAAATAACATGACTAAATCCATTACATTAAAAACAAATTTTTGGCGGGGCGTGGTGGTGCATGGCTTTAATCACAGCATTCAGGAGGTAGAGGCAGGTGGATATCTGTGAGTTCGAGGCCAGCCTGGGCTACAAAGAGAGTCCCTGTCAGTAGTAGTAGTAGCAGCAGCAACAGCAGTAGCAGTAGCAGTGATAGGGACCAGTGGGGTGGATCAGTGAGTAAGGACATTCAGATAGCCTGAGTTGGATCCATAGGATCCTCACTATGGAAGAAGAGTGACAACACTTGGAAGTTCCCCTCTGACCTACACACACACACACACACACACACACACACACACACGGGGTGGTGTTGCTCAGGGGGATAAATAAATAAGTAAATATTAAAAAGCTCATTCAACACATGAAGAGAAGTGAAATACAAACCCAAAGAGAAATGCAAGATAAAAGTAGAGTAAACCATTTTCCCCCTACTTTAAAGATTGGTGAGGCTTCCCAAACCAAAGTTGGGCAACACACTCTGATGGTGAGTTTTAGAGAAGCCAATACCCTTGCCTTTCCCCCTCGACAGCGCAAGGACAAGGGCGTGCGTGAGGTTGGGCAGTCTGTGCAGAAGTGAGAGAGAACAGTCACCAAGACAGTCGTAGCAACAGCGTAGAAGTAACTCAAACGTCCGACGCTGGGAGACTGCATATGTGCAAGTCACGTGATGGGCTAAATATAACTCAGTGCGCGGAGGGAGGAGGAAGATGCTAGGTACTGGTTTGAGTTCCTGATCTGCCATCACTAACTGAAGCTGGTCCAGAAGGACAGAGTGCACGCTGCCTCTTTGAACGAAAGGAGGGAGCGGAACACACATTTGGGGGAAATGTCACCTTTACTGGAAGAGGGGAGAGAAATGATGTCACCTTTACCAGAAGTGGGGAGAGAAGGCGGCAAGGGAGGGATTGTTTTTCCACAACATCTTTTCATGCCGCTGTGATTCTTAAAGATACACATCTATTTTTATTATTTATTTATTTATTTTTGGTTTTTTGAGACAGGGTTTCTCTGTAGCTTTTGGAGGCTGTCCTGGAACTCGCTCTGGTAGACCAGAGATCTGCCTGCCTCTGCCTCCCGAGTGCTGGGACTAAAGGCGTGTGCCATCACCGCCTGGCAAAATATACATCTATTTTTTTATTTTTAAAATTTCCTGAGGCAGAGAGATATTCGGAAGAGCAGAGTGGAGTTGAACTTGTCCTTTGGGAAGTGGGAAAACATTAAGGAAGTACCAAGGCAGGGGGCATTTCTGGAGCCCCTTCTCCACGGCTGGGAGTATCAGGGAAGCGACCCTGTTTGTGGGTTTTGTGAGTGCTAGGGTGGGGCCTGGGCCATCACATATGCTAGGCAGTTCTCTGCCACTGACACACACCAGCCCAGAGCTCTGTACTAAAATTTTAATTATGTATGTGTTCTTTGCATGTATATCTGTGCCCTGGGCCACCAGAAGGTCCCCTGGAACTGCAGTTACAGATGGTTGTGAGCCTCCATGTGGGTGTTAGTAACAGAACCCTGGTCCACTGGAAGACCAGCCAGTGCTCTTAACCGCTGAGCCAACTCTCCAGCCCAGTTCTGTGGTTATTAGAATTATTTCTTTTCCACACAGTTCCAGTAAGGCATTGAAGGGAGAATTCATGAATTCACTAACATGAGGACTCATGGTATACAGTGTGGAAACAACCACCCAGCCAGGGTTTTCATTACACGAGGGAAGCTGACCTCTTTTCTGGATGGGGTAACAGCCAATCAGAGCCACAGCTTCTCCAGACAGCTGACCACCCCACAGCTACAAGGGAACTGGCTCTGCACCAGATTTAACTTCTTCATCTTGGTGGTTCAGTCCCAGTCTGAGACATGATCTGACATTCCAATAAAGATCGGGATTTTTGAATGAACCTCAAATTCCCTCTGACTTGAATGGTTGAATCCGTCAGGGATGGAAAAATGACTTTTCCTTAGCATAGAAAAGTGTACAAGGTCTCCAAAACTTGCTGCCGAGTCCTCGTGGGTGGAGCTCAGCTCAGAGGGTATGGGAACATGGCAGGGCTAAGGTGAACACTTAGCTGGAGACTAACGTTTGTACAGACTCTCCATGAGCTACCTTTGCCTCCCTAGCAGATGAGTTCTCAGATGGAGATGCTCTGACGGGAAGGTGCCCCAGCCGCGCATGCTCAAACCCAAGGCTGTGCGTATGCTGCCAATTGGGCAGCATCTCCAGTCCCTATTGCTTTTGGAGCCTGACAATGGCAAACAGAAGTCCTCAAATTTGAGTGGCACTGCTCTGTAAGATGTCTGGCCACAGGCTATGATTGGTCCAGATGCCAGGACACGCGGTTAGTGACCAAGTAGGATGCTAGTGGCATGCAAGAGTCTTTTGACAGTGATTTTGAAGCCAAGCCATAAAATGGCCACTTCCTCCTTGCAGAAAGCAGTCTCGGCTGTTTTTCAGGGTGCAGCCTCAGAGTTGTGATGTCAGGATATGAGGGAGGGACCACAGGACTCTGCAGTGAGCAGAACTTGAGAAACGAGAGCAGGGTGGCGATGAGACCTGCCGCAGTAGCATGATGGGCCAGGGCTGTGCAAGCTGGGTACAGGTGACTCCAGCTAGACTCTTCATTATTGGTACTCACGTCCCCTACTTCTCTGCAGCCACTTCTGATGAGTAGGCCAACTGATGAGGCGACCAGCAGGGGGGTTAAGTGAGGCCCCTGTCCCCTCGTCAGTGAATCTACATGGAAAGTCCTTCCTCCTGCAAAATCCAGGGCTACATCATGGCCTCCTTGTACCTCAGGCAGAGAACTGTTGCTTAGGAACAACTTTCTGCATCTTGCCTCCTCCCATATTTCAACATGGTATCAACATTGTTCGTGTTTCTAAAATTCAGTATTGTTTCTGGGGAGGTTGAGACAGGGATTCTCTGGGTAGCCGTGGCTGTGCTGAAAGTTGCTCTGTAGACCAGGCTGGTCTCAAACTTAGAAATCATCCTGCCTCTGCCTCCCGAGTGCTGGGATTAAAGGCGTTCAACATCACTATCTGGCTAATTGGCACTAATGGCTGCTGGGGAGAAGGGAGTCATTGTTTTGGGTGATGAAGCTACTGATGAAATGTCCACGCTCATGCAGGCAGTCCTGGTTGAACTCGGGGGTTATGAGGGGAGGGACTAGGAGAGAATGTGTGTGTGGCCAGAATTTGTATGAAATTGTCAAAAAAATTTAAAGAGGAAAGAAAGGAAAGCCTCGTGGTCAACAAAGCCAGTAACGGGAAAACTTAATAACCCTGGAGTTGTCTACCTGGAACCAGACCTGCAGCTCAGGCTCTCTGCCTTACCCAGGACGTTCTCGTGACCTCACGGAACCCACTGTCCAGAGAATCAGGGGCTAAGTGGTGCAAGAAAGACACAAAGCAACAATTCTCTGGACACAAAACAAAGAAGGAGGAAGTGGAGGAGGAGGAGGAGGAAGTGGAGGAGGAGGAGGAGGAGGAGGAGAAGAAACAGAAAATACTATACTTGGAGCTTAGTTTATTTATGTAACACTGAAATGGAAAATTTAATGTATAGATGAAATAGATTTATTCTTGTACATTTTTACAGCATTGGAGTCCTCTCACAAAAATTAGAGCTACTTATTAGTTTAATAAACATTTACAAAAACTAAAAAAAAAGAAAGAAAAAACTTCAAATATGGTCTACAGCGCCCCCTCGTGGTTATTTCAACTCTTTATTTCACATCCCACCCCGCCCCGCCCCACTCCGCCCCCACTCCCTGCCCAGTAGCCCACCCAGTAGGCTTCTAGGTCAGTTTAAAACCTCTCTCCTAACTCAAAAAACATGTAATTGCTGCTACTTATAGTCCAGGCCACAGAACATTCCCACAGTCCTTCGTAGCCCGAAAGTACAATCCCAAAGAAAACATGTCCCCAAATTGTGCAATAAATTTAGAAGGGCCTAGAACATCAGGACTCAATTGCCACAACTATCGAGAGAGAGGGAGAGAGGGAGAGAGGGAGAGAGAGACAGAGAGAGAGACAGAGAGAGAGAGAAGGCAGGAAAGGGGGAGGGGGAGGGAGGGAGGGAGGAAGGGAGAGAGAGGGGGAGAGAGAGGGGGGAGAGGGAGAGAAAGAGAAAGGAAGGAAGGAAAGGGGGAGGGAGGGAGGGAGAGAGAGAGAGAGAGAGAGAGAGAGAGAGACAGAGACAGAGACAGAGAGAGACAGAGAGAGAGAGAGAGAGAGAGAGAGAATTATGATAGAAGAGAGATGATACTGGGAAGAGCAAGGCCGAGGAATCTTGCAACTCAGTAAAATCACTGAGTTCAGGTTTCACTCCTCTCGTTTATCTCTTTTCTCCCCAAATCTCACAGGAATGAGCAAAGAGACAGACGACGATTCAGCAGCAACAAAAACGATCGCTTCTAGCAGCGTCAGACCTGGAGAAAATGCATCCGGAGGAAACAGAAGGAAGGGCTTTTTTTTTTTTTCCATTGAGATCCAAGCTAGCCTAGGCCGGTCTCAGGGGCTTGCAGTGGGCTTAAGCGAGTTTCCTAGCTGTGCTGGATCCTCGGAGGCAGATCTACCCCTCTCTCTAAGTCAGAGAAGGTAGCTTGCTGAGAAACCTGAAGAGGCATGTGCAGCCCTCAGCAAATCCCTGTGCCCCTCAAACCCAGTGGCTGCCACTCACCACTCTGATGTCTGCCCCCACTGGGAGTGACTCCACCTCACCATGTCCCGCCTAGAGCACTGGGCAAAGGAGCCCAGGTACACACGGTCTCCACAGGCTGCTCAAGCCCAAGGTGCCCTCGCCTTACTCTTGGGGATG